ATGCAAATCTTTAGTGTATGTACTAACACCAGGTACATCATTTAAAAGTTTAAGCTTAAAAACTGTACATAATCCTTCGAAATCAGCCGTATAAACCTATACTAGTATACCAAGTGCGGGACGGACTGTCGAAAGGACACTGGTAAAACAATATGATCCCAGTATTTAGCCAAGGGAACATAATTTATATTAGCATATATAATGATGTTCTATTTTATTAATTATTATAAATCATTTGGTGACAAAATATCTTTTTGTATAATCAGTTCATAGTGGAATGGTAATTGGGAGATCTCAAATATAGCAAGCTAACAAATAGTTTACGTCATTTGGTCTTTGATGGACAGTTGTTTAATTGGCAATCATATCACATCTCCTTATGTCATAATGGTTTGTGTTTTTCCAAGACTAACAAATACGTACTAGGAGACTGAACTATGTTGCTGTTATAGTTTAAATCTGACTATTGTTGTGAACATGTGATGTTATAATTTGATAGATTTGATACTTGCTATACTAAATATACTTATTAACTTTCGTATTCAAGAGACCAGCGAATCTTTACTAAAACTACTTTAACAGATTAGCAGTTAAAAAATACTTGTCCATCCTGCATTTGTCACGTGTTATCTATATTTCCTTGGTTTTGATTGTCGTTAATCGGCCGGTTGCTGTGTATATCCCACATTTCCATTTATGCAAATAAATAAATAGCAACTCTTTTAATTTACATAAACACTTGTATACTTGTTAGAAAAACTCCTTAGAAGACTATGAATACTCTCGGGCTTTTCCCGACGCATATGTGACCAATATGCCCCCCACAAAAAGGCACCTTTGCTAATCGTCTGTGAGTCGTTTTGTCTCCCCACTTTGTGAAAAAGGTGCGTTTTTTTACCAGCTGTGCCAGGCCTGTTCATCATGTCTAACTCAAAGTACCAAAAAGACACCCATCCCCGAAGATCAAAGTGCAAATTAATATGAATCTAAATTCAAAATGATTTTTTTGTCGTTGGAATTTTGTCCCCCGCGAGACGCGTTGATGGGGACATAGAAATACCGGGCGTCCGTCCTTCCGTCCGGTCTTGTTAGCTCTCTAACGTGTACAATTCTTGCCAGATTTTTATAAAACTTATATATCAGGTATATATCAGCCTTGTTGCTGACAAGTTTCAAAAATCAGTGCCGACACACTGCTTATTGCTTTAGTAAAAACAAAAAGCGACTCAAAGACAAACACCAGTTTACAAGTATACGACATAAACATGAGGATGTCAGAATGTGACAGTAAACCGGATTTATTTTACATCTATTAATGACTTGCTATTTTTATTACCGGATTTCCAGTCCCGTTATTGATTTATTGTTGCACTGCGGACGAGCGGGCGGGCTGCTCCAGTCGTTTCCATGCGATGACTTATGAACCTTTCATCCAAAGGTTTTCAAATTAATTTTAATATGTTGTCACTGATGACAAAATGGAGGTAGAGTTTGATATTGACGATTAACTTTACACCATTCAGCAACAACAGTATTTTGATTTGAAATGAAATGTTTTAAAATTTTTGAGCCTTCGATTGGAACAAATGCATGTACTTGGAATTTTTTTTATATCATTATACCTTTAAATAGGATAAAGTCAAGATTGGGAAACCAAAGGTCACCAAGATTTTTTATTAAAATTTTGAATTGGTTTAAATACTTGCATATCTCATTAGAATAAAACTGATACAGGAGCAGGAAGATTACTGAAATTGATGTAGTTTTTTTTATCAATGTTGGTCATGTTTATTCTTGTTAAAACACTAAATACAGAGATTATACTTGATTCAAAAATTAAATTACTTGCTTTGCATCGAATCTATTATAACTGCTATGAGAAGCGGGGAAACGAGAATTTTTTTTTATATACAAAAGATAATTGTTTAAAAACAGTTTTACTGTTACGGTATATAATTTCAACATATTTTTAGAAACAATGTTACAGTAACTGTTCTTATTTCTTCTTTAATTTTCTAGCATATAAACTTTTAAATTATTTGCGTTTTTCACAGTCAGGAAAATCCCTTCATTTACATACAAGTATTAACACATTTTCACGAATACAAACTGCATGTTTAATTACAGAAAGATACCGATGTCTTTATTAAACTGGTCCGCCGTTCCATCTATAGCTTCGCACCGAAGTGTAGAGATAAGTGAACACAACAGGGGTCCAGTTTATGTCTTTATCTGGCATATTCTTGGCTTGCATAATTGGTATATTTGTATATTATCAATCTCTTTACAACGTCTGGATTTTATTATACACAATTAGCGTTATTAGATCAATTTTGGTAATTAACACATACGGTATTCCTTTTAAGGTACCCTGTAGTGCTAAAAGATGAACAATTTCACAGTAAAAAAAAATCCCTTCATTTACATACAAGTGACCTATTAAGGGATAGTTGATTCATGCTCTTTCTTTATTGTATTATTAAACATTTTCAATTGTAATCATAAACATTCTGATAAAATACATGTATGTGCATACTCGTGTATTTTCAAATTTTAGGATCATGCAAAACATACGCCTTGGCTCAAGTTATATTGAAATAATTAATTTGTATTCTCTTGTTTAAAATGAAAAAAGATCTCAAATAAGCAGAAGCTAGACGAACTTTTTTCCAAGTCCACACCAAGTTTGGTAGACTTAAGCTTGGGTTGAGAAAACGCACCGTGTTTATCGATTTGATCTTATTTATTCTAGTTAAGAGTTCATTCCTGAATGACATCGTTGTTTTCATATTTTGAAGTACAAAAGGTAAAGCTGCTTACAATTAATTAGTACAGTGTTATTATAATAGTGCATTTCTTCCTACACCTGAGATTTATGTAGTATTTGCAACTAGACGTTTACACAAATCCATCCATCAACCCATTTATTATGTGTCTATAAGATGTAAAAAAAATATCAGTTTACTGTTACAATTCATCGTCTAAGTTAAAGTGTCCGTTCTGATACAAGCATATCGAATTGTAAAATCTGCTGTAAGGAAATTTATGAACATTTTAAAGCATTTGTGTTTTGTTATACAAGCAAGATCTTAAAAAAAAATCCTCATTACTGTTTTAAATATTTTCCATGGTTCTGGAGTAAAGCTTTGGAGATTTTCTTATTTATTCAAATAGAAAAAAAATATCATCGGTCCGACATTTAAAAAGCACCCTGCCATTTTTTAATATCATTAATAATATCTTCAATCAGTTTTGTTTTGAATCGGGAAGAACAATATCTACTTCAATTCAAATATTCGCTCGGTGTGACTCTCTGAAACCATCAATACGTGAACTTTGCTGCAAAAATTACTATAAAATATATGGATTTATTTTTTCCGTAAATGCGAAATTAATGACACATCTTACAGCATTTACTAGGGTCTGGATGGGGTCTTTCATATTTGTATTCTATGATAATTTAGGTCATATTTCTCTATTTTTTTTATATTTTATGTCCATTGTCATGATTATTTTCTTTTCTGTATATATTAGACCCTTTTTATCTAATTTTTTGGGAGTAAACTATTTTCTTTTTTTCTTCTTTTAGCTCTAATCACGACCCTCATTTACGTTTGTTGTTCATGCTAGATATAAACTGCGGTCTCGCAAAGCTATACCTGTGTAAAGACAACTTAACAGTATCAATGTTTCATATACTGTGGATACATTTATTTTCGTGGGTATCAATTTTCGTGGATTGAGAAAAACTTGCATTTTCGTGGATATCTGATTTCGTGGTTTTGCCGATCTCTGCATACAAAGCCTTTAGAAAATTTGTAATTCGTTGAACATTTGAATTCGTTGTTAACCTGTACCCACGAAACCCACGAAAATTGGTATCCAACGAATAATAATGAATCCACAGTAGTAACTATGAAGTAAATAAAATGCATTTCTTTACATGCATGAATACATCCGACAAATGGTTGCAAAAATAAACAAATATTTGTCAGCATTTACTTTGGTTGTAAATGTTTTATAAACCGCGGTCTCTCAAAACTTTGCATACCTGTGTAAAGATATGTTGCAAATATCCATATTTAGCAAAATAACTATAGTACTGGAAAGTATTAGTAAATAAAATACATTACTTTACAAACATGAACGATATCGACAAACGTTTGCAAATATAACACAAACATTTGATAGTATTTACATTGGTTGTAAATGTTTTATAAATGGCGGTCTCTTAAAACTTTGCATACGTCTGTAAAGATATGTTGCAAATATCGATATCTATCAAAATTTTTATGATAATGGAAAGTATTAGTAAATAAAATACATGTCTTTACATACATAAACTATATGGCCAAACGTTTGCAAATATAACACAAACATTTGACAGCATTTACGTTGGCTGTAAATGTTTTATAAACCGCGATCTCTCAAAACTTTGCATACGTCTCCCAGCAAACACACAACATTTTAAAAACATTTTTTAAATGTCATATGGACGTCTCTCACAAAATATTTCAATAAGATATCATTTAAACATAAAAAAAATGTTTATTTTATTGTTTTTGAAATGTTTTATTTCTAACATTTAAGTAAAATGTTTTTACAACATTAACAAAATATTATTTGCTAATATCTTTTATTCATGTTCTCAAACATTGTTCTAAAATATCCCATTGATATTTTATAATATAAAAAAATAATATTTTCTTCAATTGGTATTTTATATTTTAACAACATTTTTAAAGTAAATATTTTCCAAATATCCAAAAAACATTCTGCAAAAAAATGTTTTACAGAAAATATAGTTTTGCTATTTGCATAAAATGTTTTATAACGTAAAATTAAAATGTTTTACATAAAACATCTGAAAAATATCAGCTAAATGTTTTCTATAAAATATTCTGACATACACATTACTTAATAGTCTTACTGATATTTTATTCAACATTTTACGGATATAAAAATAACATTTTATTTAAACTTTACAACGTTTTGTGGAATTATCTCGTTTTTTTTCAGGATAAGTTATAGTACTACATTTCATCAATATCTTGACAAGCAAGATACTATGGTTGAAATCCTTAATTGATATCTTGAAGATCCTTGAAGTCAGATTTTATTCCTTCTTATTTTAAAATTCAAAAGAGTCAACATTAAATTAAGCAATAATGTATTTATAAACAATCACCTTTCTTTAATGTTTATTCATTTCGTTCGTGTATATTTAAGAAATGAAAACTGTAACTGTACTAAGTTCAATTTTCGTATCGTTTATATGCCTTACGGAAAACCGACCTTTTCCGGAATCGACTTTTGTTTTATCACCGGAAATGATTTTGAAATTTGAATTTCGAAACGAAAACAGGATATCAACAAAGAGAGCCAAGAAAATTGTTTGTTACGCGATATATACTCACTTGGTAAGAATGATTAATCTGTTAAGATGAAACTTGTGCATTCATTGTGTGTGTTCAATCATAATCGGAACCAAATTACATCTGTTTCTGGAGGTGCGGATCAGGGTTTTGAAAAAAAGGGGGCCCCTACCCAAGGCAAGCAAACGTTTGGAGTGATACTTGTAAATAGTCTATACATTTATCTTATAAGTAGCTCCATAAGGGGGTCGGGGCCCCTAAATCCGCCACTGTTCAAGCATCTACGTACACCAATTATGAATTTGTTCATTGATATAAAAATATTATAAGGATATGTGGCTTGTGTGTTTGAATTGATTGCCAATACACCTTATCGCTATTAGTCCGCCATTACTGGCCATGGACATCACAAAAGTTCCCGTAAAATGTTGACGTCATATTAGAAAATATTTGACACCACAATCATGACAATTGAAAGTAATACACCTTATCACTATTTGTCCGCCATTACTGGACATCACACAACTGTCACAAGTTCCCTTAAAATTTTGACATCATCATAAAAAATATCTGATGCCACAATGGAAAAGTGATTGTTGTTTGACGTCAAAAGTTCAAGCAGGATAGATTCTCGGGTCAAGCGGGAATAGCGATAAGGTGTATTATTGTATGACGTATGCTGACGTAAAAAGTTCAAGTGGGACAGATTTCCAAATACTGAAATAGCGATAAGGTGTATGAGACAGCTATCCACCAGAATTTAAATGACTTGGATAAAAGAAATTAAAAGTCACTGTACGGCTTTCAAAACTGAGAAAACCAATGCCATATAGTCCACTTTGAAGCCTTGACAAACAAATGTTAAATTTTTCTCAACACAATTGAAACAAAACAACTAACTGCATACATTAAATACATACATGTATTATGAAAAAGAAACTAGACAGACTTAAACCAACAACAACTATTGCAATAAGCATGACTCAATACCTTGTTTCCGAGGCACACAAACAAGTTACAATAACACTAATATAAGCACCATTTGAATATGGAGATTTTTTTTCTAGTAAAATCAGTGTATGTATGTATTTGCAAAACAGTAAATTAAATTTCCCTTAACAGCTTAATGAACATTACAAAGACTATGTAAGACTTCAGCACAAGCAAGATAATATAAACTGCTGCTTAAAACTATATTTATTGCTTCATACACACAATGTACATACAATGTATCTTTTATTTTTTAACAGGAGCTAAAAGAAAAGCCACAAAGGACAAGTTCAATATGCAGGTTTACAATTTGGAAGTGGCGCAGGTTCTTTGAAATGTCTACAATACAAGGGCATACAATACAGAAAAGATATCTGGATATTTGAATAAATTATATTTTTTGTGACAAAATAGAAACGAGTTGTTTATTTAAATCAATCTTTTAGTCCAACAGTGTGCTTTCATAAACATATTAAATTTTGCTTTCCTTTGAAGTATTTCAAATACATACATGTATAAACAACTCATTTAATGACATCTGTGTGTTTCTCGGAAGTTAAGTTATATTATTATCATCATTGCAAAAACAATGCGTAACACTTCGATAAGTTATTATGTGCCTATAGTATACTTCTAGGACTGTATCATATGCCCTTAGATACAAATGACAAGTTATAAACTATGTCACTCTACAGAGTTTAACACTTAAAAAGGACAATAAGATGTTTAATGACATTATGTAGCAGGGCTTTTAAAGGCCCTTACATGATACAATGCATTTGATGAAAACTAAAAAAAAACAAGAAAAACAACAGCCTGATTTATACAAAACAATAAAAGAAAAAAAATATGATAGACATCAATCATCGAGTATAATGAAATAAGACTCTGGACTGGACACATATCTAGTCTAAAGTTTTTTATGTGGTTTTTTTTAATAACTAAATGAAGTTCAGCCAGGCATATTGCTCTCTCTTAACACGGTCAGCCATTTATCGTCCCCTTCCGACAGACTATCATCGTTATTTGTTTCAAAACTTTAAAGGGGAGGGGATGTATATCCTTCAGGCAACGTGAATCGTTCTATAATAAAGGAATGTGCAAGAAGTTCATATATGAATGTAAGATTATTTTTTTTTTCAGAAGCATGGCACAGCAAGAAAAAGATATAAGACACTACAAGACATTCCTAGTGATTTTGAATAAGACAATTGATTGACTTTTTCAATGTATTCTTAAATAAATCAAATAGTTGATGTAAAATGGTGTTTTGTTCTCATCTGTTCAGCCAATTATCAATGATTATTGACTTAAGATGTAACCCTTTTAGAAGTGTAGCGTTTTAGTTTAGAAAGAGAAGTTGTATTGAAAAATCTGAATTTGGGACACAAGTTTTAGTCAATGTAACTTGAACTTAAAAATGTGTATAATATTTGCATAATGTCCAATGGCATATATATCATGCATGTTCAGGTTGACATATGCATGATGTGTATAAGATAGGTAATAAAAGTTGAGAGTGAAAAACTAAACATTATACCATTGTGGTTGGAATGTAGGCTTTCTTGCACTGTCTGTCGTCCGTCCACCTATATTTGTCGGATTTTGTCCAACAAATATTTTCATCAAGTGCTGTTTTTCACAAAACTGCTGATAAAGATGAGTTCATATTTAATGAGCTGCTTGATAGTGATGAACTGTGATGTGTGAACATTTTTGTATCTGGCACCTGTTTCCTGTTTGCTTATACTTTGTATTTCAAAATTTTGAATGTTCTCAAATTTTTCATTACTTTAATTAGTAATGCTGATGAACAGAATGACTTCATATTTGGTAAGTGGCTTGACCATGATGAGTTGTGTCTGCCATTTTGGATGTGTCAAAATTTGTAGATACTTCTTGTTTTTAGAGACTTTGAATTGTGAATTTCATATGCTTAGCTAAACAACTGATTTATTCTTGTTTGTATATAGAATTATTCACTGTGTATAAATTAATTTAACTAATGATTTGTTATTTAAAAAAGCAGGAAACTCAATTAAAAGTACAGACATTTTTTTATTGATATGATCTAGATATCAACCAAAAACATCTTCTTAACAGTCTCACTTGCAAGAAAACATCCAAAAAACATTTTTATAACATTATTTGATGTTCATGATATTTTTCATACGTTCAGAAAATATTTCTAGAAAATATTTTTTAAAAGATTATCAAAATGTTTTATACGCCATTGTTTTTCACATTATCATGATATTTCTTTACAACATTTTAATTATATTATGCAAATATTTTAGAAAATATATTAGAAAACGTTTTAGCGATATATATTCTACCATACATTTAATGTTTTTCTCACGTTTTTTTGTGATATTTTCATGACATTAGACACAACATTTTAAAAACATTTTAAAGATGTTTTTGTGTTTGCTGGGAAAGAACAGTAAGTTATCATATTATGTCTGCATTGAGGTATCATACAAATCTTCTGTTTTCTGTCCAACAAAATGATAATATTTGTCTTCCTGATCATCATCATTTCTTTTGAGTTTATGGGTCGTTGAATCATAAACATCATCAACGGTATGACTATAAATGTTACCATCAGCTTCCTTGTGACGATTACATCCTGAAATATCATAGGTTCCTTCTTCTGATGAACAATAAATGTCATCATGTTTTGTTTTAAGCTGTTGTTTGTTTTTACTTGAACTGGAACAGACAAGCTCATAAGACTTTGATCCCTCAAAACCCTTTTCTTTGTTATCCAAAACCTTGTAAGATTTTTTTGGGTCAGTCTTTTGTTTTGGCTCCTGAATAAATCTTGTCTCCGTCATTTGATTTTCGATATCATAATCATCGTTAACTGATAACTGATTAACACCGTGAGTATCCCTATATTTAACGATAGTTATTCCTTCTTTATCAATGGGTAAAGTTGTACATTGATTGCCAACATTGCTATCCTTGTCATTGGCGTTTTTCTTGCTCTCTTTAGTTACTCTGCACACAACAGGTCTGAAATGTCAATAAATCAACTGTACTGGATAATGTATAGTTGTTACTTTTTATATTTTTTCTGAAAGGTCTTACAAGTGTTATTGGATTGAAATTTTGACATATGTTGTAATTAATATGGACATTATGTGTATAGTGTTTTACAATATCAGCTGTATTAGTACAAGGCTAAGAAACAAGCGTTTGTGGGCAGTTCCCCCTGCTTAGAGCCGAATAAAAAATATAACACATATTGTCTTTATCCTAGAATTAATTTAAGCATATTATAGATTTAACATAATATTAAATACTTTTTATTGCAATCATTTTCGTATCAAAATGATCATTTTCACTCAATTTTCCTGTGGAGCGAACGAGTATTGCGTAATATTTACAAAGTGAAATCCACACAATCGGCTGATCATCGATTCGCTGTAAAACATATTTTCGTCTCAGAACTGTCGGCTTAGAAGTACAAGGATAATTTTGTGTGAGCGGAATTCAACAAAGTAGGTAAAAAAAGCTTATCAAAGTTAAAATCTAAAAGGAAAAAACAGCAAGTTGCATGTTATTTTCCACGATTTAAAACAATATTGGGCAAACATTAACCTTCCTTAAACGTTTCTAAATGTTCATATTAAGATCGAAACAGATATCTATAAAGTGCCAAATTGCATAAATGTCTACCGTCTGTTGTTATGCGATACATAAGTATCATTTGTAAGTCAATGGATTGAGATTTTAAAAAGCGAGAGGTGATATCCTTTGCCTTTTTAACATTCCACATTATGCTGTTTATGTCTGGAATATGAAGGACCTCGCCAGTGTGTGTCTTTTGGCATACATCATATGATTTTTTTTCTGTCATTTAGATAATTGAATTATGCGTTAATAGTAAATATGTAATAGTCTTTGATAAATGTCTTTAATTGTTCTTTTCGTGGCAAATTAGGGCTCGACAAATTGTAGAAACATTTGGTTATTGTTGAAGAACGAATGTAAACCTCGTTGAGTTTTGTTTTTTTGAAGGGTTGCTTTTTCTTTGAAGTTTAACCAACATCCTCTTATCAATTTTCATAGCAAATAAAAAATTCTTTGCAAATGCATACTGTTGACAGTTCATGCAAATTAACCATATTAGTTACATATCCATTTTAATTCAATAGTCGCACGTTACATTTGCGATCATAGGAAGAATATAATTACCTTCTGATGAAACAAAAAATCAATACAGCAACACACACTAACAACACGATAGCTACAACCAAACCAACAACTAAACCTGTAGTAGATTTCCAATGAAATGTAAGTATTAAAACATTAACTGTCGAACTTCCTTGATAATCGTTAAATATGCTAATCACTTCCACTAATTAAAATGCACATGTTCCAGTGCTTTTATATAGTCAATAGGATATAGTCTAAAACTTTTGTTTTTTTCATATTTTGTATAATAGCGGGGGTTTATGGTTACTATAAAAATAATTAATTGTGGAAAATAAATACCTTGTACCACTTCTAATTGATTTAAAAACAATAAACGTGATTAAGTTTAAACAATCATCTAGTGTCAAAATTAACACACAAATTATTGGTTTAAATACCTCTTTCAGTCACACTATGCCTCGTACTTCGTCGAAGTTATGTTGAGGTACCCTTGCCACTTGCATTGAGTTTGACTTTGCTTGTTTGTGATTCAGTGTTATGCTAATACACGTTTGGAATGCAATACATAAAGAATAGGCTTTAATATCGAAAGATTGTAGTTGATGAAACGTCCTTCATCCGTCCAAACCCATTAAAAAAACATAATGAATTGCGACGGATACTGTTCTTATACACTCCTCATTTTCTTAATTCTTTATTTTTTATGATCATTTTAATTTTGCAGATTTTGTTTTAACTCGAGTGTAATATGACGCTTTATATTTTATTTGTGAATTAAATACGAGGTAACAACAGACTATGAAATTATCTAAGAAATAACGTTTGGGACCAGCGCTATATAAATTATACTTAAATAAAAATAGTTACCTCCTGTAGATAAACAGGGTGTGCCTTAAAATATTTTTATCGACTGTCCATTGTATAAACTAGAAAAAAAATGTGACTTTGATATGCTGGCTTATCCACTTTATATAGGTACCTTTGTTCGGGGAAGCGTTCTTCTGCTGTGTATCGTCTGACAATTTATTTTTCTCTCTGTCTGAAATCATATGTACGATTATCACATAGTTGATCATGGTGTTGCTAGTAAAAATGTTATATTTCAAACTTTGTCATAACCATGCCCTTTTTGGTACAAATAGTACAGCAGGAACTGCTCAACGTTACCAAGCCCCTGAATTCATTTTGGGTTTTGGTAGTGTTTGTATTGTTCAATCTGAAGTTTTCTGTCATGTGTTTAGTTGACTGCTGTTCGACCCTTTTTCGTTTTTCTTTTGGTCATAGGGTTGTCTGTTTTTCCATGACGTATGGTTTTTTATCGCTCCCTCAAAATCGTATCCCTTTTTAGCATTTTTGTTCAAATAGTAGAAACCTTATCAGTTTGAACTGCCAACGTCCATTCACGATTGTTCTCGCTATAAACTCTCTGTATAAATAGTTACAGTATACATTTCCTGTATAGTCACTAGACTTTAGCGGTTTTGAGACCTTTTAAAACTTAAAACAACATCTGGAATATGTTTTCTTCTTGTTTGAATGATATCAAGCAGGTATGTTTTTGAAGGCTTTACCAAATGAATGCCTTCGTGTTACAAGTATTGTATACCAATTATTAAAACATATACGTACAAATGCATGAATGGATATTTATGTAATGATTATTGATTTTTGAATAGTTAAAGATTATACGTGTACCTTAATTCATTACAATTTGGAAATTGTTGCTTCTGATTTGAAATATAATTTCTTCTATACATGTAGAGCAAGCAAAGTATATTCGGTTGTTTGTGTGGTCTAGATTCAAAATATTGTAGTTTCGGTACAAAGATGTTCGTATTCATTATCTAAAATTTTGAAAAAAGATGAAAACTTGAGTTTCATAATTATTGGTTTGTGCTAATCAGCTATTACCTAGTATATGACTAATGAATTGACATTCACTGACTTACATGTACATAAATTCTTCCTGTCCAGTGATATGTCTTCTTTTAGAAAACATAACACATAAATATGATAACAGAGTTGTGTATGCATTTTGTATATTTAAGACGCAGCATCGGTGGAAACCTATTCTGAACGACAAACTGTGTGTACTTTGTTATACACGTAGACTACGTTTAAATATTAAAAGATGATTTTGACACAATAATCAGTTGACCTTCGTCAATTGTTGACAAGATGAACATAAGCCATAAAAGTACATATAAAGCAAATTTTATACACATGTTGATTGTTTTCTCTTTTCTAATTCATTCAAAATTTTAAAATTAACAAATAGGTCTGAAACATGTTAAAAGAAATTTTTTTTTTTTTTTATTTTGATCAAATGATTACCATCACATTGATACTCAATCAGTAGCCTGTTTGACTGATAACATCTTGGATCTTTCTTTATTACTTCAGATAGATTGAAGGTGCATATGTCTGAATTGTAGGTATCGTGACATTTTGACTTCATTGATGTTTTGACTTCCTGGTAAACTGTTGAACAGTCGTCAACCTTTGGATCAAACGATAATTCTGTCTTGTCAAGTTGTAGATAATATTTTGAACATTCAAGCAGCGAAATCGGTTTGTTCGTATTAAGACATGTCTGGGAATATTTAATTGAACCTAGAAAAACAATTTAATTTGATGGTTTAGCTTTCATGAAAAGTTATCGCGGTGATAAGATATTAAAAAGAAATGGTTAGAGTTAAAATCACAATTTCATTTTCACGCGTAAAGCATATTGTTCCTTTATAACAGATCATTACAATTAACGAGGGGATTGATTTGGGTTATGAGAGATAACTCGTAAAATCATTTATGGTCATGCAGTCTAATAATTACTTTTCATATGATACCGAATGAAAATAACCTGTGTTACTAAGAAATAGTAGAAGCTTCAAATATATTAATTGAATGGTTGACGCAAGCATATCAGTGATATTGAAGGTAAATGGGGAATCTAAATTAAAATCGATAGAATTTTGTCGTAGTATGCCAAAATATAGTTTATATTATGCGTTTTTCAAAAATATAATAAAAGTATGGGTCACAGGTTTTTTCCCAGCTACAGATTGTGCAACATTGTTAAATTTTGTATAGATTATACATTGACAATCCAATTTTGAGGGATAGAAACAAAACTAAACGATAAAACTTTAAGATAAAATATGAGAAGATCGCTCTTATAATGTGCTTTCAGAAAATAAAAATAAAAATTGGGGTCACGGTACTCGTTGCAACCATTCAACATAAAATTCCTAACACATTCCTTTATAAAAATGACTGTATCCGAGACAACGTTAAAAAAATTAATCAAACAAGAATCTCTATTTGTGAAACAGTTGAAGATATGATAAAGCAAGTAGTTTTCTTAAAAAAAAGTAAAATCTTACAAAATGAATCACATTCTTCTCTCAAAATTTGCACATTTCATTAAAGATCTAGACCGAATGTTTATGCTATTTTACAATCCAAGATGGCGGAAGACACCCGATCTACCTGAAGAGTATTGTTTGTCCCCTAACCTAAGTTTAGATCTTCCTCCTTAAATCATTGATTTTGTAATCTGATTGCCCTTTTCTGATATTGATTTTTCAGCCCTGAGACAACATCTTCTGAGATTAACGGCAGCAGACACGATCTTTTGTTTCCAATTGTTAATTATCCATTATATCTCGATTATGATTTTCCTTTTGTCCCATCTTATGGGGTATTCCTATCTTAAAACGCACGTTATGCCCAAATATGAAGCGACGTTTCAAATTTCTATGAACGTCATCTATGCATCACTGTTAATAACTATTTCAGAAATTTTGTTGCCACATATTGCAAAAGATATTAACTTAAACTTTTCATAGATACTAGAATTTGGTTTTGAAATTTGACTGTACCTATCGAAAAACCATTGATGTTGTTTGTGAACATAGATTGATTGATTGTTGATTGCTTAACGTCCAGTGGCAAATATTTCATGCATATTCAGGACCAGAACTAATTAAAAAAAATTTCGTTGTTCTTTTTTTTTTTTTAATTTTTTTGTGACTTTCGTGCCAATTTGGTGAGTTAAGCCATTTCCAACTGATCTTATCAGGGTTTTTTTTTTTTTTTTTTTTGCTGTGTTATGTTGCACTCTGTCCCATTTAAAACATGATTTATCCCGCTACTTTCTGTATAGTCCCGTGGCCAAAATGGGAATGGAAGTCTAAAAAAAAGTAAGCAATACATAACATCATAAAATTCTGAAATAATCGACGTACATGTATTATTAATTCGAAAAAAGATTTTAAATAATCACGGTGCTTCATGGAAAAAGAATTGAAGACAAGTGCAGAAAACGGTTTGATATCTATTTCATATATAATACCTACAGTGACAATGACAAAATGCATAGATCTCTAACTTGTTTTCCTCGAAAGACAACTTGACTTACCTGAGCATGAACGTGTAACAAGAGTTATATCATCTAAAGCTATATAGCTCATATAATCGTCTTTGAGAACCCCTTCAAAGATAATCACATAAGGTTCTGCTTTAGAAATATCAAAATACGCATATTGCCAGGAGTTGCCTTGATTTCCATATTGTGACCATTGCATTTGGTTGGTGTTTCCGGATTTTATGTAAACATTTAATGTTCCCGTACTATTTCCATGCATATGATACCAGAAGGTTAAACAGACATGACCGTCAGGGTTGATAGTCGTACTGTATAACTTCGATTTTCTTCCTGTTTGTATATCTTTGCTTGCAAGGTATATGTAATGTCCACCAGCTGTTTTAATAAAAAAATGATAACCATAAAAAATATATCTATCAAATAACACTTTTAACTTTTATTCTTTCATTCAATGTCTGCAGATTGATCAAGTGATTGATTAAATCTAGAGAACTGGAAATGTAAATTAGTGTGGCTTATGTAACTACACACATTTGTTGATGAAACAGATGCAATTAAAAAAAAAAAAAAAATAGAACCTCTCAAAAAAGTATCGTGTTTTAGAAATAGCCCTGACTGAGAGATGATTTTTACATCGGGATGACCTTGAGGTCATCCCGATGTATTGCTATCGCCTAGATTTCCATTATGTAAATTAGTTTTGGGTTTGTAACCGATCTATAAACATGATAAATATGCGCACATTAACGAGTGCAAAATGACATTCCTTATCGTTTGATATAAATACATCTCTTCAATGAATACTGATAAAAATATTTTTGTTTACAACATAAATTAATCATATGAAAATGTTTTGTAGTTAGATATATATATATATAAGCAAAAAATCATTGATAATATCAATGCACACGTACCGAAAAATTGTGTTAAAGCATGCGGACGAATATCTCAAAGAACGTTTTGCGACAATACCGGCAAGGACCTATAACTCTGTAATTGTTTTTGCGGGAAAATATGAATGCGTACTCGTATCCAATCTTAGAAAAATCGAATTTTTACAGAAAAGTGTTCACCATGCACTTGCATTGTACTATTATTAGAATAGTAGAATAGAATGATATACAAATGGATGCAAATCATATATATATGTAACTGTTATTTTAATATAATATATAACAACAAATCAGTGTATTGTATCACTACAATATAATAGTTATTACGGTGAAGTTGAATTTCCCGTCATTTATTCATCATCCACGCTCGAACTTGTCTTAGAAAAAAATATATCTCTGTACATTTACCTCAGTTTCAGGTAAAGAGATATGTTGTTTTTTTCTGAGACAAGTGCTTTTGACCATCCTCAAGAACTTGTGGTCATCCGATGTTCAGTACATTCGTACTTTGATTTGATTTGTTTTGTTTTTTATCTTTGGTACCACTGTGCAACTCTTGTTTTTTTTGCGTTTTTTTTTCATTCTGTTAATGTTTATCGTAATTCAGTGTCATACGACAAAAACATGTGTATGTAAAGGGTTATCGATTATTTCATGATATTATGATTATTATGATAACTTTTGATTTATATTAATTCCTAGATCGTACATAGTAAATTCAATGTTTGGTTGCACATGCTCAAGTTGTATGTTATAAGAAATTTCTAGAGTTAAAAGATGGCATACGATAGCCGATGTGTAAACTGAACAACATTTTTGATGTGATATGCCAGAGGCCAAGTTATCGAAACTTGTTTACTGTTGTGCTAAGTCATTCAAAATCACGGAGTGCCCCTTACTATAAAAAGGTATACACAGATGTGCCGTTGGAATGGGTCACTTGTTTTGGAATGTCAAATATCATGAATATATAAATGGGGTGCAATTTCACGGAGGTAATAATACAATGGGTCATAAATGTGCATCTCCTGTTCAGAAGTCTGTAAAAACTGTGTTCAGATCTTTTGTCTAAAATTATGAATGATCCAATGTGGTTATCGACTAAAAAAAAATTTCATGATAGCAGGGAAGTTTATATAAATGGGTTGTGATTTTCCTATGAAATATATGAATGATCAGGGATTTTCACATGAATCAATATATGAATGGTTTTTTTCAAACCCCAGCTGTACGTCTGTACCCAAATTGGTATGTTAAGACTCCTCGTGTTCCAAATAAACTGCGTTTATTCAATTCATTGATGAACAGGAAATTGCTTCCTGAAACACCAACCTGAGTTTTGATTTAACAAAACAAATTGACAAAAGAAAGCATGTATAAGCCTCATTAAAATGAAACTTTTATAAGGCAATTTAAACATGTTAAAGAAAACATATACGAGCAATTCTTTAATTTACGCAGAGAGTGTATGTGTGTCTGTCCACGGTAAACACTCAACCAATAATGGTCTTCAAAATCATTTTTCATTGACTTGTTTATCCTACTCGTTAGGTTTTAGTAATGTTTTTCAGTACAATTAACAAATATTCCTTTTAATGTGTTCCAACGGATAAGAAGGGGGTAAAACGATAATTGAATATTTTATAAAACGATTAACAAACAGCTTACATAAACCACTGGTATGATCAAAGTTTGGTCCAGTATAATAAGAAGGAGAACTGCCAAATGTAATAGTCCAAGCAGGTGTCAGTTCTGTATTCCATTTATAACTATCTGCTTCAAAGTTACAAATAAATCCTGAATCTAAAAAATATGCCAAAACATTATTACATTTTTAATGATATATAAATAAAGGATACAAAGATACACAAAAAGCAATCAAAAACCATAAATTAAAGAGAGACAGACAACATCGTTTTCACGGCAAAAGAAAAATGGCGAAAAAAACAGCAATCTGAAACACACACACTCATAGAAAAGTAAAGATTGAAGAACTCATACCCATCCAAAAATCAGATGGTAAACTCATCATAAGGGAAGGATATACATTTTCGACTAGTGCTACTAACCGAGACACTCCTATTAAAAAGCAGTCGATGAACCATTACCGTTGAAAAGGCATAACACAATAGCAGAAAGTTTAATGTTTAACATTTCATAGCGGTATAACATGTTACTTTTATTATTCCTCCCTTAATTTATTTATTTTGTATTTACATTGTATCATAGGTCAAATTTATTTGTTCAGTTTATGTTTACTGGTGTTAATATGTCCTTTGATTGAGTTAAGCCATTTCAGTTGATATTTTATAGTGTGTCTTTCTATGTTGTGATGTTACACTATTGTTTCAGAAAAAGAGTGAAGGTTTGGTACCATTTAAACGTTTAAACCCGCTGCAATTGTTTGCACCTGTCCTAAGTCAGGAATCTGATGTTCAGCTCAGTAGTTGTCGTTTGTTGATGTGGTTCATAAGTGTTTCTCGTATCTCGTTTTTTATATAGATTAGACCGTTTGTTTTCCCGTTTGAATGGTTTTACACTAGTAATTTTTGGGGCCCTTTATAGCTTGCTGTTCGGTGTGAGCCAAGGCTCCGTGTTGAAGACCGTACTTTGACCTGTAATGGTTTACTTTTATAAATTTTGACTCATTGGCACTCATACCACATCTTCTTATATCTAATTAGTGTAAAAGGTAACTTTTTTTTTAATGATAGTTTTTTTCAGTGACTACAATAGTGTGTCATCCAAATGAAAATGTATATCATGACTTTTTTAAGGACGGTATGTTTGAATTAAAACACTTCGTTTTCAAAAGATTGTGTGGAAGCTTTATGTAGAAAGTCGGGAGGCCATAACTGATAGCCGAATTGATAGGACCATTATAAGCACTTTATTTTCCTAAAAAAAAATTTTAATTTCCAAAAATTATTAATTCCAATATTTTCATATGCTTAATTACATAGTCAAAAAATCAGATTTTAATTGTAGTCAATGAACTAGCTAGAAGCAAAAAATATTAACTGCAGAACACTGACTAAAACCGAGAGCAAGCAAGATTCGACGGGTTTAAAAAATATGTATAGTTAAGGTAGCTAATTCAAATTAAGGAACATCAAATATTCAGAAGAGATGTTAAGCTAGGATGTGGTTATGCTATATTATCTATCATTTGACTATCTGTGCAGCATACGGTCTTGAATGTAGGATGATCTATTATTTGATTCTACTGTACTTTCGTTTAGTAATTTCGCCATACTACTAAATTAAATGCGCTTTTTGGCAGCTGTGTCTGTTGGTACAAACACACTTATATGTTTAGCTGTTGCTTAAACTCATTTTCTAGTTTAAAAAAATGAGAAATTGGATGGAGATGCAAAGGATGCGGATAACTTTGTCAGTCTTTCATAATTTAGCCTGATCGTTGTTTTAAAGAATAGTATGTCTGCAGCCTCAAGTACAAGATTCTAGCTTCATTGAGCTTTGACACTAACGACGAAATTTAACTTTGGCATCGTAGTTTGTGATGCATGCATAACAAGACACGTTATTCTGTTGATGCTCGTTGTTTCATTCCGTACATAGTTCTTACGATCTGTTCATCTTTATCCATAGTCTTCTGTGTCATTTGAACATCTGAATTCTACCTTTATTCGTGTACGGTTTGTTTTTTAGTTCCTGCATTGTCATGTAGTGATTGGGAACATTACGAATTACGAATAGAGGTCATTACTAAACACAAAAAAATATACTTATAGAATTTGAATGTGGCAAAAATATCAACAAATGAACGAACACCACATTAGTTCATACATGTGCGTAATCACATGAGTTTATCATCAGTGTTATTTGGTAACAGTTGAACATTTTTCGGTATTTAAATTTTTGGGTTAGTATTACACATTTTAGACTTTTTCAATTGGTTAGGTTGACACAATGATTGATCAACCCCAGACATATGATATTCAGGGAGGCCAACGACTGAGAGTAAATTTCATATATCTGGGGTTGATAAATTATTGTATCAACTTACATATCAAAAGTCAACAATTATGTTATTATATGACCTTTTTTTATCCATCTCCAATTTTCTAAAATGTGTTCAAGATATTTGACTTCTCCTTGTTTTGAAACTCAATATATCTTCTGCCTTGGCAGTTGTTAACTTTAATAAGTTGAAATATTCGATAAAATTCACAGAAAATAAACACTGAATTAAGAAAAAAAAAGAAAAAAAGGAGAATTTGCATGAGGTCATAAACCTACGTCATTAACGTGCCCTAAGGAAATGACTATTGAGGTTGACGTTAGCTGTTACAAAATTTATTTGTTTAATCAAAGAAGATTCCCTATGCCTTTAGCAAATGAGAAAAGAGAAATTTTACAGTCATAATAATTCTTTTTATTACTTGGACTTTTAATGTGAATAAGGTAAAACATTCAAGGAATTATATCTTTTTCTACACGTTCTCGCCTAATTTTGGAGCAACTTTGTCCACAGCATCTTTCAAGAAACCATTTTTGTATGACGATTGAGGAATGCAAAATACAAAACGTATTTCAAACGTGAAATATCATTTTTTTTATTTGAGATTAAAATCCTGTTATTGCAGTGCAAAGTAATAATATAACTTGTAATCTGTTATAATAGTTTTATGATATTTAATTATTGGCTATAGGTTAGAATAAGAATGCACTGCTGCTAATTGTTCTTAGTTTAACTTAACCGATGAAGAAGTGACCTACATTTATTTATTGAAACTTAACGTTATCAACCAACCAAACCATTGAGAGCATTCAAGTCACGCGGAAATGTGTGTCCTACAAAGATCGCAAAGAACAAAGAAAAGCAGGGCTACAAATGTAACATACATAACTGATAAACTGCATAAAACACAACATGAATCATGTTACAACAAAAAAAATTAATTCAAACATATAATCGGCTAAAAGTCAGCCAATCGGTACATAACACAAACACAATCTGTAAGTTATAGTTATACAACTAATCAATCTGAATAAAAATACAAATCCTGTTTCGATGCTTTGCTTACAAGAATCTGACAACACTTCATTTTACTTTCTGTCCGGTTATTATTACTACATCAGCCAATGAAAATTCAGTATTCAAACTTTTGAAGGTGTGTATTCATCCGAAAAAAAAACCCAGAGGATCCCGAAAGGTCTTTAAAAATAGAAAGTAGAACGGATCGTTTTTAGATCCTTGAAAGCTTGGACACAGCGTATGTATTTGAATCAGATTAACAATTAATGTACATTAAATCAAATCAATATATGCAAGCAGTACGAAAAAGGCCTGACAAACATTTGATTTAGGAATAAAGGAACAACAGGTCACCTATGGACTCCTCTAAGAGATTTGTAAAGGGTTCTTTAATGCGCAGAGACCGTGGCATTCTCCCTAAACATAATTGGGTGATAAATGTCCATTTTAAAAAAGAATAAGTTACATTTACGTGTCTTACCTTTCTTGCAGGCGGTATTGGTAATGAAAATACTGTCAATAGCAATTTCACTTTTTTTCCCATCACCGCGAAATGCTTTAAATTTAATTCGATATGGTCCTAAATCTTTTAATAACAGCGACTGAAAATACCATTTGTTCCTTTGATTTTCAGATTTGCTCCACAGTTTAATGTTATATTCACTATTATATTGAAATACTTTCAAGGTGTTGATATGTTTCCCAAACATGTGATACCAAAATGTCAAACACTGTTTTGGACTTGGTACTATCAAACCAGTAAAAAAATCACTTTCGTCATTTGAATTCGATCCAATTCGAGATTCTGTGTAAGCATAATAACCAGATGCTAAAAAATACATAGTTTTGCGTTATACATAAAAAATATAGTACTCACAGAAAGATTTGCAGCACTTCTATTGAGATTAATGGGGATCAAACGTCGAGGGCACATATCTGCGTAGAAAATGCTCAAAAAGATCTAAAATTAACAGCATTTCTGTTTTAAAAGTTTGGAAGCATGATTTAATTTTAGCAGCTTACGTACTTTGATATTGCTTTCAGTAACTGTGAGATTTGTTTATTATTGTTTTGCTTGTACTTGCTTGTGTTTTTCTTCAATTATTTATCTTAATCATAGAGTTGCCGGTTTTTCTTATACTGGTTATTGTTATATGTTCTTTTATGTACATTTATCATTATACTGATCGCAATAAAAAGAGGAAGGGTTAAGATACCGAGAAACTGTTTAGACTCGCCACATTTTATGTACCTTGCCCAAGCCAGGAACATCGTCAGTAGTTTAACTTTGTTATATCTTAATATTGTTTTTATTTTTTGACAAATCTTATGTTGACGGTAATTCTTTGATAGTCTCTGATTGATCTTTGGACAAATTTTCTAGACACCGGGCTATTTACAAAATGATTTAGGACCTGATATACTGAGTGTATAAACACCTATCATTGTTGAAGACCTTTGTTGAAGACCTCTTAATGTCTTTTGGTTTTTGTTTATCGTTCGTTTTCTGTCTCGTTGACTTTTACCCAAAACGTCCTTTAATGCAGATTCAAATGACCAACTTAAATTGCTTAAATTAACAGGCGGACTTCTTTGGTGTCGAAAGATGACGATAACAAATGTTCAGAACACATACATCAACGTCTAGGAGAGTTGGTTCGTCTTGTTTGATTTGGTTGAAAAAAAGCAGTAGGACCAATTTCTTCTGACTTCTTTCACTCACTGATTTTAGACGTTCATATTTTGTATTCAAGTTCATGAGATTCCATAAGTTGGTGTCTCTTCCTGATCGATTTACGAGATTGGAATGACGGTAAACGACTGTTGCCCTAATCTACGTCTTGACTGTATCTTACCGGACGCAGTTGTATGATCTCTGTTTGGTCCTGTAGATGATTCAGGAGATTTTCCACTTCTTATCGCCCACTTGTATCTTTCATAACCACTTACGCGCCAACCACAATCATCATTTTCGAAAGTGCAGCTATTGTTTACAATTTCTGTCGGCCATATGTTACAAATAAAACATATGAAAGTTAATAATCAATATAAATAAGAAGATGTGGTATGAGTTCCAATGAGACAACTCTCCATCCAAGTCACAATGTATAAAAAGCTAACAATTATAGTTCAAAGTAAGGCCTTCAACACGGAACCTTGGCTCATACTGAGCAGTAAGCAGTATGTATTTCATGTTCAATTTTATCATTTGTGTTGCATTTTAGTGTCATGAGATATTTAAATTCAACATAAGAAAATCATAGTTATAAACATATTTCATTATTGTCGGTAATGTTTGATGCAATTATCCCGATACATGCGCTCGTACGATGAGTAAAGTACAATTCATTACCGAATGTTGTATTTCTGTTTATTGTTTTATGCTGGCATTCTTTTAAATTTCTTTTCCGCTCTTATTTTATTCATTGTCATGTCAAATCTGTTAATAGTTACGTTTATTTTAGCATAATCTATTTACCTGTGCATGAATATGAAACGGATGCATGTCCATCATCATCGAAAAGGCAGCGTTTATGAATAGGCGCAGAGACGGTGCATGATTTTGCCTTATTACAATGTTTTTTAATGATATTTTCCTGTTCTTCTGTCAGATTACACTGCTTGTATTCTGTGCATGATGTTGTAAACTGTTCTCTATTTAAATCAACGATTGCGATAGTTGTGTTACCGACACAGCTTATTGTACTTGAGTTGCTGGCGAAAGTGTTTTCTTGAAAACCTGCAAAAAATATATTATTTTCAATACGTTTGAAACATTTGTACAAGCTACTGTATTGTTGACGTCTTTGTTAAATTAGTTTGTATGTTTGTTTGAATTTTTTAGTCAGTTGTGTTGTTTGTCGGGGATGGATGTTTAAACAGTTTTGGCTGCTGGATCCCAATTATTGTCACATTAACCTATTATGTCTGTTTAGTTTGCTCACCCAATTTTGTCAATATATCGGAACTATAACCAGCTGTCAAACAAGTGGGAGGTTTAGCTAGCTATAAAACCAGGTTAAACCCATCATTTCCTTCGGAAAATGCCTGTACTAAGTCGGGAATAAGGCAGTTGTTGATTGATAGCGTTTATTTTGTCAGTTTCTAATGACTTCGTCTTTTCGAATTTACTTTGGAGTTCGATATTTTTTATTTTTTTTATACAACGAATTCAGAAGAAAATATTTGAAAAATTACATTATTGTAGATGTTATTCGTCATTGATGCTCCTAAATAATTTTATGTAGTTTGAGTAATTTTACATTATTATGTAAATTGCAATATATGCATGCTAACATTAACTTATGTTGTGCGCTTGTTTTTTTCAAATTAGTACATTTAAATGATACTCTTACTGAGGATAAGATTTGACAATTTTCTTCTATGATAATTTGTAAATGACAATTTTGTTTATACGTATACATGGTATATTTCAATTAAAACGATAATTTGTATTGTCGGACACAACTGAATTGAAACTGTTCCTTTATAGATATATACATGTTTAGTGGATCGTTGCACAAAAGAGCATTTTGCTAAATTAAATGCAATAAATCATTGATGTTCTAGAATTGGTGAATATATTCAAGCAATTGAAAACAACAATGTACAATGTAATATCACCACAGCGAAAGAGCACAGTTTGGAAAACCAGAAAATGATTCAAAACAAGTTTAAAGTCATACACACTGTCTTCGACTTAGTACTGTTAGGCTAGAGAGGCTAAAGAAATAAGCAGGTCGTTCTGTTTCGATAATAAAATAAAAAAAAAAAAACAACCAAAAACGGATTGTGGGAATGACTATGCAACACAAACATGAAAATAAGTCTAACGATGTATGTAACGATCATGATCAAAGATCTATACGAATGAGATGAAATAAAAACACTCATGTATATATACATGTATTTCCCCTCCAAACAATTACCATACCGTTGACTATAACTATTTACATTCACTTCATTTGATCTCTGCTGGATAGTTGTCTTACTGGCAATCATACCACAACTTCTTATTTTTACATTAGGATAAATGTCTGACCCAACATGTGAAGCACACTATCTATTTCATGTGAATGCATCTACATATCGCACAGACATTAATCAAACACAAGGTAAAAGATGCATACCTTTGGTCGAAAAAGGAATAAATAAATGTAACATGCAAGACATTTAAATCAATAGCATAGACAAACTATCGAAATGTCTGAAATAAAAAAAATGAACTCGATTCATTTTTCGAGATATGAATTGAAGAACCTCATTCATTCATAAATATATATATATATCTATAGAATACACGAAAAGCATAGCTCTAATCACCGTAGGCATTTGCCGATGATAGAAATCTACAAAATAGTGTGTTTAAAAAAATGAGAATAACAAATTTACCAAACTTCAAAATAAAAATTTCTAGAAATCTATTACAAACGATCATCATTGCAACAATTGGAGCTTTCTGTTTGGTACAAACCGTGAGGGTTCAGAAGAGGGTGAAAGGCACATCAAACTTTTCACTTGTATAATATATACGGGTTCCTTTCAGATTTAACTTATCTAATGTATTAAATTTCATCACAGGCACAACCGAAACAACACATTAAGCTGCGGAACTTAATTCCTAACAAAGAATAATCAGTTCTAATCAGTCTTATCAAAGAAAGCACATTCGTGGGGTTCGCTATCTCTGTTTCAAGTTTTTTTTTTTATTTGATGCTACATATCATATTTGTTGTTCGTTTATTGTTTCTTACAGATTGTTCTCGTTTTGTGCTGTTACACCACTTTCCCTAGTTTAAACCCCGCCATATTCTGTATGTGCCTGTCCAAAGTCAGGAGCCTGTAATTCAGTGGTTGTTGTTTGTTGCTGTATTTATCATTTGGTTTTCGTTTATTGTTTTGTACATAAATCAGGCCGTTAGTTTTTTCTCGTTTGTATGGTTTTACATTTGTCATTTCCAAGCCTTTTATAGCTTTCTATGCGGTAAGGGTTTTGCTCTTACAATGGTAGGCCGTACAATGACCTATAGCTGTTAACCTCTACGTTATATTGTCTCTGGTGAGGCGTTGTTTCATTGGCAATTATACCACATCATCTTATTTTTATACAAATAGGAAGTTTATACATTGAAATCTTGTAAATAACTGATGTTTTATTATTTTCGACTTGTCGTCTAACTATTTCGATCTTCTAAAGACCTGCAAACGAATTAAATCATGAAAACAACTACGAACGCTTCAAATAAGTACGTTATGAAGGTCAAATATGGGTTTATACATATATGGTAATATGTATTGCACCTTTTAGTGTTTCCGACAAGTAAAATATTCTACACGTGCTTCTCTGCAAAATGAGCAAAATTAATTCACTGAAAATTATACTATAATCCATTAAAAATCATAACACATGGTTAACGTTCCGACCCATACATTTTCATGTATTTGATTATATCCCGCCCAATATCTCTGCTTTGCATATTTGTTTATGTAGCATATGCCTTCCTAAAACATCGCGCTTGTACATGTAAAACATCATATACATTATCTTTACAAAAAATCAAATGGCTATTCCCTTTTCTTTTATAACTGCACATTTTTATGTCACATATTTACTACCTTTTGTTTGCATATTTACATAATATAAATCAGTGTAACATGAGAAAATTACTCAATCAAATGTGTTCTCCCTTGTAAACAAACAGAAAGAACAATTGTGTATATCAGTCGGTTATCAATTAGATTGTTCGTAACGGATGTGGTCATACATGAATTCAAAACATCAAAAACTTTATCTTTAAACATGAAAATAAATTTTTTACAGATGCCTTATAGATACGTATATACACACACATGAAAATGGCTGATGTTTTACTGTGTGATTCGGTGTTAAGTTAGATCAGAGAATTAAGAACCCCTCTAACCCAATTATTTCTCATTAAAACTGCTTTTAAAGATATTATTTAGGGTAAGTTTTCGAATCGCACGTAATGGCTTAACTAAAAATTATATCAGCAGTTGTGTATTCATTTGGATGCACATGTGAGTACAAACCTATTGCAAGAAAACAGAAATTATTTCCAGTAACTGCGTATGCATTTATTACATCAAGGCACTGTCAATAATATGTGTTCGCTATGGTTTCCCAGTTGTATTTCACTCATACTTTTGATGGTGGGATTTTTGTAGTTTTTGTTGCCTATTTTGGAGAGGGGATTGTTTTTTATATTTATTTCGTTTCTTTTCCTTTAACGTTATGTTATGAACTATTTCATATTGCAAAATATAGAAAGAACGTTTTAAATGTTATATATGAGCAAAATATTTTTTACCTGTTACAAAGAAACTTTTAGGAAAGAAATCCATAAATTGTATACAAAGTAAAACAATGAATTTCTGCTTTTCATCCATGTTTATACTTCATGTAATGAGGAAGTATACAACATACAATGTATATTGAAGTGGTTCAATTACAAGTATTTCCGATACAAGAAGTTCAATTAAAATCATTTCCGTTTGGCGACGTACACAACGAACACATATATGCAGGCAATGCTTTACTTTACTCAATTATTTAAAAAAAATTGCTTGTACAAATAAAAATGTACAAATATGCGATTTTAAACTAGCGCAATAGATATATTCTGAATTTAAGATAATTATTGAAAACTTTCTGAAAACAACGATGGGAAATGTTTATTTTTTTTCATCGTTTATGCTTTACTTATACAACAAACATCTTGACACGTCTGTTATCATTTTGGTAAATTAATTGTACGAAATTTACAAAGAAAAGTGTTAAAATAGTCGACTGACCAAATTATGATTTTCTTATAAAGTAAGTTACAGTTTATCTATGTAAAGAGGAGAATGGAGTTTAAATTTGCGAGAAAGAGAAAATCAATTGACATGACATCAAAGGATATGGGGTTGATACCAATTTAACAGCAACCTTACGACAAAAAACCACAAGATCTCTAAATATCTTAAATTAAGACAAAGAATGATAGAAGCTAAATACCAATAGGGCAATCAAAAACCTTCAGTCAAATAAAAAACACCGTTGCCAAAAAAAAAAACAAACGTAATAGATATTTCATTAAATTCAGATAATAATTGAATATTTATCTGTCTAAGAAACAACGACGGAAAAGGTTTTTTTCTTTTTTTAAGCTTTACTTTTACAACAAACATCTTGACACGGCTGTTATTACTTTGATTAAATAATTGTACGAAATTTCCTAAACAGAAAAAAACAAATCTACCAACCAATTATTACTTTTTTGTAAATCAAGTTACAATTTCTCAATGTAAATTTGAGAATGGAGTTTAAATTTGTGAGAAAAATAAAATCAATTGACATGCCTACAAAAGGATATGGAGTATATACTAATTAAACAGCAACATAACGACAAAAAAGACCACACAAAAGACATCGAAATGTCTTTAATTATGACAAAGAGTGATAGAAGCCAGATACCAATAGGGCAATCAAAAACCTTCAGTCAAATAAAAAACATCGTTGCCAAAAAATTAAAGAACAAAAAAAAAAAAAAATAACAAAACACTACATAAAAAACTGAAGGCTTATTAGAAGGTTAATAGTTCTCTCTCCACTAATGGCACCAGTCGTGTAACTCATTGGTAGTTAAAATATTGTGTTAAGTACAATTCTGGAGACGAGGACGGGATTTGGTTAAGACAAGCAGACAATATCCGTAGTCATCTAGATAGATCTTCCAAAATGGCCACCCACATTATGATGGCGACGTCCTCTAAGCTTTTGAAAAAATGGCTAGAACTTTTCCAATTGAGACCCTTGATGTAATAATCCTCTTGTAAGCAGTTAGGTTCACGTTCGTGATAAGAAAAGAATGCTGTATCAACTTGGATTGTATGCTGTTGGAATGTTGCTACCAAGAAATGAAATGTCCACAAAGGGAAATTGAAATCATCTCTTCTTTCGTAAACATAATTATAAATAAGGAGATGTGGTATGATTGCCAATGAGACAACTAATCACTAGAGTTCAAAATACAAAGATAATTATGACCAATTAGTTCACCTTTCATCCTTCAACAACCAACAACTAGAACATTCAATACCGTATAGTCATGTATAAAATGCCCCATCATGAAAAAGTTGAAACAATTCATACGAGAAAAACTAACTGCATAATTTATAACAATATGTTTAGTTTTGAACGGAACCTCTGTCATTTTCTCGACGCAGGTCAATATATATACAAAGCATATGTACCAGGCTTAACTGTATCTGTGACATCCTTTATTTCAAGTTCACTAGGTAAACTGCAGTCAAAGCAGTCACCAAACTTTGAATTATTCAGTGAAAGGACATCATCTTTATAGCCTAAATTTGTATTATGTTCAGTGTATATTAATAAAGCTGTAAAGGTGTATCAGTTTCTGCTCATTTACGCCTTTATTCTGTCTTTCGTCTTTCATTTGAAATTTATCATAAATTTAGTATAGATACACATCTATCCCATCGAACTTTAGATAAAGGATACAGCAGATACAGTTAAGTCTGCCTCATATCTTGACTTGCCTCTAGAAATTGACGATAAGGGTCAGTTGAAAAGTGATGATATCAGCTTCCCAAATCGATTTATAAGATTTGAACATCGATAATCTTCTGTCACCTTAATTTAACGGCTGTGACCTATAACTATGCATGTATAAATAGCAGTTCAAACTCTACACCATTTGAAGAAAACACGTTTGTTTTTTTTTTAATTATTAGTCTTAATATTAACAACAGTATCATAAGATATTGTTTTATCTTATTGACATGGTATAATATGGAAAATACATAATATCTATTTAATATATTTTAACAAATTATATCCATTTATCTAACAGACAACTTCCATATTTTAAATAGATATCCATTTTGTACATGTTGTATTTCCATCACCCTTCAAGTACCTGTTTCGTTTTGAGAAGTTTCAAACATTATGATAGGGCATGCCAAAGCCTTTCAATGCAAGAAATTATCCTTATTTGTCACTCTAACTTTAAATTCATATGCAACTTCAAATTTTAAAAAAAAGTTGAATATGTTGTATATTCTTGAATGGCTAAGTTTTACTATAAAACAAGTGAACGTGAACTTTGTCTTGAAAGAAAATCCTTTATATTATCAAAATCTTCATTAACGTACCGATATTGAATTATAGTCTTTCCAGACACTTATTCGCCGATATTTTCCCGCATGCAGCGACCTTAACTACGAGACCTCTCGTTTTAACTTCGGCCACCGCACCGCACAGCGCAAGTGCGAGGGGAAACCCGTGATGAAAGAATGTAAACAAACGTGCTCTGGAAGGTAAATAGTAATAACAGATTCTTAAAGAACAAATTTAATACAACAAAGCATTTAACAACTGTTAAGGAAACGTTTAATTAACAAATGGGAACGCATGAAAAATATAAAAACAAATGTCATGGCTCTTTCAATTCACTTATTTGTTACGTTTTCCACGTGCTCTGTGTTTATTGTTTATCAATGTCACGATCCGGTAAATTTCGGCAACAAACTCGAAAGTTAATTATCTTGCAATCATCAATCACTGAATGAAATATTATTTGTCGATACTATGTTATAGATTCGTAAGGAATATAAATAACGTGCATACAAGACTTAGTTTAGTATATATGCATGCATTGGTTCAATAATTTCGATAACATTAAAATTTCATGAAACTCGTTTCATATTACTTTAAATTTGTTTTGAATATTTAAAACTCGTCCGTTATACAGGCAACGTTTGATATGTATTATTTTGTCTACACTTTCGGACCTTTTACAATTTCACCCAGAGTTTAACATGTTTAAGTAACCTTTCCTCTTTAAATTGTAAGCTCTTAAAATTTTAATTTATGATATATATATATATATATATATATATATGAAAAATTATTTTGACCAAACTAATCGTATGGTGTATATTGGATACAGTTAAAAGCCTTCTTCTTCGGACTCGGACTTCTTTTAAACTGAGTTTTACTGTGCGTATTGCTGTGTGTTTCTTTATTCTACATTGGCTAGAGATATAGGGGAGGGTTGAGATCTCACAAAACATGTTTAACCCCGCCACATTTTTATTTTTGCGCCTGTCCCAAGTCAGGAGTCTCTGGCCTTTGTTGGTCTTGTATGTTTTTTAATTTCAGTTCATTTATATGTTTAGTTTAGTGTGACGTACATGTTCACTGAACTAGTACACATTTTTTTTTAGGAGCCGGCTGAAGCCCGCCTCCGGGTGCGGGATTTTCTCGCTGTGTTGAAGACCCATTGGGCTGTTTTCTGCTCTTTGGTCGGGTTGTTGTCTGATTGACACATTCCCCATTTCCATTCTCAATTTTATCTTCTTGTATCATTAATTGCAGCAGGTAACTTCATAAACCGGAACAAAATGCAAATTGTAACAAGTCCAAGGAAGTTTCCTGGACATGTCTGCCAGCTTGTTTTCATTATTTTCAGCTTCTAGGGCTTATTGTTTGAACAGATATAATTTCATAAATTAGCCCTCAGACTACATCCTTAAAAAATCTTAATGAATCCTTGTTAATTCTTAAAAGATTTGGTAATAAAAAGATCTGTTCGTTATATATATAAACCGTCCCGTTTCCCCGCTAATGAATAATACCTTTATATCAAAAATAAGTAGTTATCAGATTTGACTATTGCCTTAAGGTCAATATAGCTCCACAAGTATATCAAGTATTTAAAAATGCTTTGCCATCAAATTTTAAACATTCTGATGAATTTCCGGCACTTGCTCGATACCAGTACTGGATGACTGCCGCTGCACTTAGATTCACAAACTTAGTCGTCAGTGTTTAGGTACTGACCAGATTGATAACATTTGCTTTACACCGCTGATAATTTAGAAATAAGGGTTCTAGCTTTCACAGGCAAAGTGAATCTTAGATGGATTTGTCTATGCATTTTTTCAAGTGTTCATGAACTTGTACATCTTTGTCTACACTCGGGCTGTTTATCCCAAGGGTATTATATGCTCAGAAGCAAATATGTGTCTTTACCTCGGCAAATCAAAATGATGAAACAATTAAAAAAATTTCAGGACACAATAGAATCAAAACAATCAAATTTAAAATAATGTCTGTACTGAAGTGTCATAAAAATATTTTGTTTTCTTTTCAATGAAATTATCATCTTTGACCTTCTTGACATCTTCTCCTGAATGGATCGATGAATCATACACACAATCAACGGTATGGCTATCAATGGTACCATCAGATATATTGTTACACTTACCAGCGGGTGCATAAACATCGGTTTCTATTGATCTGTGCTGTGTTATAGTCGTAGAATAAAACACGTCTCTGTTGCTTGTTTATCAAATCGAATGTTAACATCATCGTGATTAAATGACATTTTAATATTTGG